GCTTGAACATCTCATACAGTGTTTAGCAACGTGTCATACGGTGATGATATGATAATAATTACGAGAGATTTGGAAAATTTGAAAGGCACATACAAAATGCTCTTGCTTGCTTTAAAGAAACTTATTATGCAAAGAAGAAACAAACTGTCCAGTCAAAACTTAATGTCTTTCTGAAGAAGGAAGCACCTGTTTCTGAACCGTCAACAAGTGTCACTGGCCCAGCACCTTCTACGAGTTGTGCTCGCGAACGCAAATCACCAGAAGAAATTGATTACCCTCTCGCTGTAGCTTCCTCCCCAGCATCATGTTACAGCAATTAATGTTAACTTTTCAATCACACTTATTTAGTTAGGGGCAGAAATTAATCACTTATTTACTAATTAAATGACAGCAGTTATTTATTTACTCATTTCCAATTTCATATTCATATACGATTTACGACATTTAGACTTACGATGAGTTCGTGAACGTAATCCCATCGTAAGTCAAGGAGCATCTGTAGATGAAGTTTCAGGCGGTACAAGTTACTGGTCTGAAATCAAATTAAATAAGTTATTGAATTAAATGCATCTTTTCATTTAATAATGAATATTTAATATTTTTCGTAATCATCGTATCGATGATTACGCAACCACTGTTTAAAATCCAGAGATAGGTCAGCAGCAGTGCTGCATTTCATGGTGGCAAACCACCTGCAGGAAGAGCGAAACTTAGTGAATTAGTTGCTTTGTGTGGATGACGAGCTTGGCTTGAGTTCGAACGCCCGACGGATGTAATTTTGTCATGGTGTACGAAGAAAAATTTATTTTCAGACAGAACATGGATTAAAGATAAAATGCAAAATTGAACTGTTGATTGCGAGATTATGGATCTTACTGAAGAAGGTTTGTCTGTGAGACGCTTCGCTCTACTGGTTGGCTGTTATCCTATTCTGCAACATGCTGTTTGTGAGTTTCAAGGCAGCTAGAGCTATGGTCAGGTGTTTGTTCTTTCTTCCATGCAACCTCTTCTTGGCTGATTCGCCCTACATTCTTTTAAAGTGATCTTCTAATCATATTTTTGACGATTCCTGGAACGTATGGTTTAACTCACACCTTCTTTGAGCACTTTGAGGAAGATCTTTTGACCTTCTTCTTCTTCTTTCACCTTCACTGAAACGCACCAGTCGCGTGATCGTTGACCAAGTATTTTTTCATATTACCATTTTATGACCTCTCACCACCTTTCAGATCGGTCACCCGGCTCTTCTCAATCCAGATGCAATCCAAAATGCTTTTATTTCGACACAGAGTTGCCGCTTACGCAGAAGACCGCCGTTAGGTCTGCTTTCAGCAGTTATTCCCAACATATCTTTTGCCATGCTGCGTTGCGTAATCTGCAGTTAAAGGGCAGCTTTCAAGCTTAGATCCACGTTTTATATCCGTAAGTTAGTACTGAACCATCGAGTACTTTCAAGTTTTTCAAGCACGAGGACAGTTTCCCGGATAAGAACTTTTTCCAAAACTACTCCATGCCATTTTTATCCTCCTGTTGGTTTCACGTAATCGGTTTGTTGCAGAGATGATCTATCTCAATAGGCCTAATTTTGCATTTCTTCAAGCTTACATCTAATGACTTCAACAAATTGCGATGTCTCGTATTTGTTAAGCATGATCGGCGTCTTTTCAGGTTGATTTTCAGTCGTGCTTGGATGCTGGCGTCCTTCTGCTCTTGGAATCTTCTTTGGAATTTTTCTGATGACCTTGAGATGGTCAGCATATCGGAAGCATGGAAATAAGAATATGTGACTAAGACAAAGTCAACATAGAGAATTGAGGAAATCGCGAAAGAACTGCAAACGGACATAAAGTCCAACTTATTGCCGTTCGAACACAGCGAGGAAAAATCCTCATTCGCGAAGATTTATCCCTTTTATCCCTTTGTCCCTCCGTCCAGCAGTTCAGCACTGATTTCACCGCTACCATGACACTGATGGGTAATAGAGGATAATAGATTCTGTTGCAGTACGTGCTGGCCTGCGATTTATTACTTCATAGATTCGTCAGTATCCTCGATGCAAATGCCAATATGGGATTTATTTTACCGTATTCAGATCAAGTGGCCACTGAGACAAACAGGAGCAAGGGGGCGGTGCAGTACACCGATACATTTGGTTTGCGTTATTTATTATACTAAGGCAGTATAATATACTACGTATAAAGACTACCAGTTGCTGAAACATCTTTTGTAATGAACACGTGGTGGCTTTAAGAAGTAGTGATGAGAGATGTATTTGATATTGCGTGTGCTCAGATACTCATGAAACGTGGCCTGTATAAATGCTCTCACTCACTAGGCAAATGAAATTTTGTTTTAGTGTAGTTATGCACGATTTACTGGATTTATTAGGGTATAGGTTAAAGTATGCTTTAATTAGTTATGCAACAAATTAAGCTGATGAATCTATCAAGTGGCGACCTCTCACTCATAATTATTCAGAATAACTTTTATTGTCTAAATCTACTTCAACCACAGGTGTAGATGCATAACCTGAATTTCGTATTGATGTACTTCAGCCTGCTTTGTAATCATGACTTCAATATGGACTTCTATTAGTTTTCATTGATGTTGTTGTGTCCAAACAAAACTAAAATCAAGCGCTTCCGTCGTGGCCATCGACAATTGGCGAGCCGGTTGGCACCATCTGCTCTGGTTGCTCCTCTGCGAGTTGTGCTGTTTCCCGCTTCTGTCTGTCAGATTTTGCGCTCGGCGAGCCGGTCAGTTGTGGCCACACGGCGTCCTAGTCCCGTCAGCAAACGCTGGCAGCAGTTTCTATATCGTTTGTCAATTGTGTCCAGTTGTCCTCTGATTTGACCTCGTCGTTTGAGGGATAACCGCTTACCGAACGTGCAGAAGATTGAGGAAAGCATTTCAACGATGGTTATCACTTTCGAAAATCTGATGTAATGATGCTGTTCAAACTTGTTCTGTGAGCGGAGTGTATTTGTCCTTTGAGATAGCTGTGAGTCTAAACGGGTTATGACTTATCTCTTTAAACAAGAGGAAGGTCAAAGAATCTCCCTTTTCTTCCGACAGTTTCGTACGTTATCACGGAGTGCACCAAAATTGTGAACTTCAAATTAAACACAACTTGACTTGTACAGCAAGTTGGCTTATGACTTGGCTCGAATGATCTCCTTCACTGATCTAGTTAACTCATGATTTGTTGAGCTGAGAGCAGTGTCTTTTATGTCAGAATCACGGGCGTCGCAATGAGGCTTTGTCTTGACATGAACGAGGGCAAAAATCAAAAAATGTATGTTATATAGACGTTCTGACAATTAAATTCTTGATTCTTAGTAAATTTAATTTTTGTTTTATTTTTCGCTATCGGACAAAATTTTGCAATAGCGAAGCATAAAGAGTCTATCAGCTTCACTTCTCTAGGAATTAGCAACGTCCAAGTTTACCTGAACCCGCATTGCTCTGTTTGAAAGAACAGCTTTCTGATAATATTTGATTATTTCCTCAAATATGTTCTAATTTCAAATATTTGTTGTCATATTTAAATTGTGTGTTTTTTGTATTATTGTTGTATAATGTCCTTTGAACAATGATTTTAAATGAAATTTTTTACGCAGGGAAAACAGTGAAATTTTTTGATGATCAAGTTCTTTGCTACCCTATAACGAATTGGAGTAATGTATCGAAAGATATTAAGTAATAACATTTTATTATTTAAATTCTGCTACTCAACGTCCAGGAAGTGGTACGAAAGTCCGCATCCGTTGGTTAAATTGCCCATCATTCGCCAATGATATCCTTTGAAGACCAAGACCTCACAGAGTGCTCCATTTCTCCGTTAGGCCGGATGAAGGTTAAGGATACGTTGGCAATGGTTCACTAGGGTTGGCATCGCAAATCAGCTGCCAAATAATCACTCACCGAAAACCTTCAGAGATAAACGGAACGGAAACCGGAAAAATAGGCACGGGTTATCGCGTCAGCCTGAACATCTCCTGTGGCTCGATAATCCACCGGATACGGTCGGCAGACGGACCCGGTGCATCGTCAAGATATTTACCGCCAGCCATAATGCAAGAACTCTATTGACAGATGAAATAATAGAAGGCTGCATCACGGAAACGGAAAGGATCAGGGCGGAGGTCATTGGAATGTGCAAGTCGAAGATTTACCTAACCTGCTGTGCAGTGGAACAAAGGAGACCAAGTGTTCCTTGGGAAGGCCTTCTAGAACCAAATTTGGACGCACAACGTTAAGTTCGTAATAAAAAGGAAGGCTATATTATTCGTAGTGAACTGTGGTATTATATATTTCGTGGAGAAATTCTAACTTTACCGTTCAATAATCCGGGTATGCAGCCAATCGAACAAACTCTAGAGGAAGAGATCGAGCAATTCTGTGAAAAATTGGAAGAGGACTACGCACACACAGTTTTTAAACAGAGTCCAACACAATGGTCAGAAAAAAACCAAAGACACTGGAGTATATGTCGGCAAACAGTAAATGCGGAAAAGACGAAAGAAATGAACGAGAAGAACGCTTTGCAACTTTAGCTAAAAGCAGCCACCTCCTCATGATGAAAACCGTTTTCCAGAAAGCTCCGAAGTGACAGAGGACACGGAGAAGATCAGAGGAAAAGTCTTTGAATCGAATCGACTAGAAACTGATGCTATCAAACGTGCCGATGGTCAGAACATTATCTGTGCCAGGTCAGACCACAGTTTTATACGTGTCATAGTTACGATCGAGGTCGCGAAGGAAGAACGGATCAAAAGAAACTACAGATCATTGCCTTGTGGAGAACTATGATTCAATCCGGAAGCTTTCGCCAATACGTTGCCATTGATGAATCTTCAATTGAGCACCAGTGAGGGCTTGGGTGCAGATTATGAGTACTTTGCCAGTGCCTTCAAGGCTGCCTTCAGAACATCAAGCCGGACAGCCCTTCAACAAGGCAACTAATCACTAGAAGAGCCCAACTGAAAACCGAAAGGAAAATGGATGAACTGGGTAAGAAAATATGGAAAAAGTTGAGTACCCAAATTACAGAAGAATTCGATTCTTCGAATTCTACGAAGCAGAAGAAAAACCTGCAAGCAGTGGAACGAGGTATTCGCTTCAAACAACGGATTCTAAGTGCGTTGAGAGACGAAGGAGGAGAAGGAACAACTGACTGCAGTCGCGCGAACATGATCTGCACAAACTTCTACAACAGCCTGTACTCTTCCAAGTTAGGCGTGAGTCAAAATTTGCCACACGTTAACCCAGAAGTCGTTCCCGAAATCACCTTGGACGAAATTCAGTGGGCAATCAGAAGCATTAAACAGGGCGAATGTTCAAGCAAGGATGGTATAGGACGGAACACTTCACCTCGACGCTGGGGGAGAAATCCTGTTTAAAGCGCTTGCCAAACGTCTTACGGATTATATCAAGCAGAACAGGACGCCTAATGCGTGGAAGACAGCAAGAACGACTCTTCTCATGAGAAAAGATTCCGAAGACCTCAAAGATGCCAAGTACATTCCTGTCAAAAATTTGAAAAGCCTTCACCCGCATCGTTCTCAGCCGCATTTGGAACGACCTCGAACATTCACAAGTCAGGAACAAACCGGGTTTGGTAGAGGATTTTCTATCATCGACCGTATGCATGTCGTCCAACAGCTGATGGAGAAGTGTGACGAATGTTCAACGCCATTTTTCTTTGCTTTCGTCCACTGCAAGAATGTGTTCGGTTTGGGAGAACTGGCTACGTTTAGCACAGCCTGGAATGAACATGACATAAACCCTGTTTAAGCCAACCTGATCGAGGAACTGAACAATGGTTTAAGGACTGATGTGCAGCTGTTCAGCGAACCATGTCGCATCAGTATCAACCGAGGAGTGCGCCAAGGAAATACCATCTCAGCAGCACTCTTAGCCGCGGCCATGGAGTCACTCTTCAGTCCGTTAGACTGGTTCAACGGCATCAGTATTAATGAAGAGCACAAGATTTAGAAATTACAAGAATCTCTCATGATCAGTTTGGAGGTGAATCTCTCCAGGGCACAACGGATGCAAAATGAGCACTGTCTCGAGGACTCGGTCTTCGCGAATGACGAATAACTCGAAGAAATCATTAGCCATGTATACCCTGGCCGTCAGACGGACCCGTCGCTAGACGGGGAAATTAGCCAAAGAGGAAAGGCGGCATGGGACATCTTTAATCGTATTAAAGAGTCATTGCTTGACGACAAGTTGCCTATGCAGGCGAACAAACAACTGCTCGATTCAACCGTGCGACCAACCATGATATGCGGTGCTGAATGCTGTTCTGCTACCAAAGTAGAGGAGAAGAAACTGGCGATCACTCGAACGGTGATTGAGTGACATATGTGTATTGTACCCCTGCGGGAAAGCGGCCCGAGAACACAAATTCTACAAGGGTAGGATTAAAACATGTGATTTTTGCCTTCTACATTTCCGAGGGAAAATCGGTCAGCCATATGGCCCTTCTGAGAGACAACAGGTGGACGTCAAAAATTGCAAACTGGGTTCCGCTGGGCTACCAAAGTCGAGCCGGTCGTTCAAGAACACACCGAGATTATCCCATGGCCAAATTACTTGGTTAGCACTGGAGGCAGTAAGCATAAAAGAGAGGATGCTGCGGTTGCGTCTACTTGCATTCATTACGAGGACAAGTCAGGTAATAGATTTTATTTAATTAAAATAAATAGTATATAAAT